CTTTGATTATATTTAAAATAAATTCGAGAAGTACTTTAATTGAGAGTATTAGATCATGTGGTACTATCTAATTACATAAGATATTCTATGAATATTATTATAGACTAATACGTGATATTATTGAGAGATTACATATTTTTTTATCTCATATTTATTCATAATTTGTCGCTTATAACGATCTTGTTAATGATAATAAGAAGGAAGTCTAATTCTCATTGTAGATCAACATCGCTGTAGCTTTTTAATGTGACGATGATGCTCTCGTAGATCAGATAAAAAATTTCAGAATGACATCAAAAGACATATATCGTAAATTTTTTGACATTAAATTTTTTTTATAGTAAAAGCATAACATGATTTTTTTACTAATAGAGAGTAATATCCAAGATACTACTTGACATTAACTTATTGAATTTGAATTTAAGTTCGAGTTAATAATATTAAACTTATTTAACCTTTTATAAATTCATTAAAGAATACTTTTTTTTTAATTTAGAGGAGAAAAAGAAAAGTCGAAGTGAAATATTTGGTATTCGGTCTCCTTCGACGTGCGGCGCAGCCCGTACGACTTTGAACAAAGATGGGTGGAAGAAAAAGAAGGAGAATTTGGGCTCCAAATCTCACATCGCAAAGAAACAATCGCTGCTGACGTTTGTTTGTCATCCTTCGTCGCTTTCCATCTCATGGTTACTCGTCGTGGAGTGTTTGGCCGTCGCGTTGAATAGTCTGTCTGTGACTAAAGAGCTTCTTCTTCCTGCACGTCGTCAGCAAGTCGAGCACAGTTTGCTTGACTCGAAGAAGCTCTCGAGATTTGTTCTTGATGTGAAATGGAAGTCACACCATTACAACCTTCTTGGTTGCTTCTCTCTTTCTTCCACTTAATTAGTGTCATTTTCTCTCGATTAATTGGTGGATATCTTGAAGACTTAGTCACTTACTTACTGCCTTTTGTCCGAACATCTATCCGGCAGCGATCGAGGATAATGATGATGGAGGCATGGGGGTTAATTCAAAGGTTTCATCTAATTTTCTTGAGTATTTATTATAACTCTAATCACCCATAATTTTTCTTTCTCGATGTAAATTAATTACTATAAATAATTATACTATTTTATTTAAATTATTAAAAAAATTTATTTGTATAGTATGGTTAAATAAATGATTAAAATCAATTTTCTTAATTACGTAGATAAGTTTAAAAAATTGTTAATCAATTAATTCAAGAAAGTAATTAGTTTAAATTATATTTTTTTGTGTGTGAATCATAATAAATAAATATTATAATTCTATCTTGTGTGTGAAAGTAAAATAAAATTTATAAATTATAAATTAAATTATTGTTTATCTTTTAAAGAGATCAGATTTCTCTCTCTTATATAAAAGGGGTTACGCTTCTCTAACTTTTTATCGGACCTAGTAGTAATAGGATCCTTGAGGAGAGGCAGGATCTTCTATTTTATTCTAACTAACTTTGATTGATGAAACATTTTAATCTATAATAATATTTTAACTTTGATGGTTAAAATTTTATGATATATAATAATATTTTAATCTAAAAATTTATGATTAATAAATAATGATAATTGATTTATGATGCTGGAATAATTATTTGACTTATAATAATCTCTCGAGCTTAAATAAATTTTAATATTATTAAAATTTTTAATCAATATAATAGTTTTAATTCATTTAGTTAGATATATTTATATTTCAAAAATTATATGTGAATTTTTATGATTTAATTAGCTTTAAATTTAATATCATGAATCTACATTATTCGGATTTGAATTACTCTTTAATAATTAAAAATATTATATTTGATTTAATAAGAAGGATCAAACTAGGAGTCCGACCTAAATTAAGTTGATTGACTAGATCAATTCACGTGGTTCGGCATAATCTAGCATATATGGTTAGATATAACATAGCTAATGTGACTAAGTATAGTTCATTCTGTGTGGTTTAGCATGATCCAACTTATATGACCAAATACGATTCGACCAATGTGATTAGATATGACCCAACCCATGTGATTAAATATGACCGAGCGTATATGGTTATATACAACCCAGCTCATATAGTTAAACATGACATAACACATGTGGTCAGATATAACTCTACTCATGTGACTAGATATGACTTAGCTCATGTGATTAGGCATAACCCAACCCATGTGACTTAATATGGTATAACCTATGTGGCCAAGTATAACTCAACTCATAGTGTCAAACATGGTCCAACTCATGTGGCCAAGCATAACTCAGCCCATGTGGCCAAGCATGACTCAACCCATATGGCTAGACACAACTCAACCCGTAAGTCAAGTGTGACAAAGTTCAATAGTAAGACTCGACCTAATTCATGAGTGAGGTTCAACCTAACCTACGAAGTTAGACCCACTCAGCTATACAATTAGCGTTAAATACATTGTCATCACTCTATCCAACCTTTTGTACATTAACCCAACCTATTACTTGAGACAAGCATGTGTGATGCATATGACTAGTCCAAGACTTAAGTGAGTCGGTTCGATCAGAGCTAACTATACGACGTAGTCCAATTTTTAATTCTTTTATTAGTTTAAAATTAGTAATTGAGTGAATCAAGTGAATTTGATCGGTTCAAGCCGATATAGGGTGATTCCAACTTGATTAGTTCAAAACTACTTGATTTAAGATCAATCAAATCTAAATTATATTAGTTCTATAATGATTTGAGGTCAGCTCCATTAGGTCATAATTTAATAGAGTATGGTTTAAGTCAATTGGGTTATTCCAATAAAAGTTATAATTGATTAAGGACTATTCAAATATTAATGTCTTATATTTTAATGATTTGATATAATTAAAAAAATTATCTGTCATTTGAAAATGATTGTTGACTTTTTATTATTATTTTTAAGATTATGTATATGATATTGATACAATTGTTACCATGTAGTATACATGATTATGCTAGTGATCTATATTAGAAGTGCAATATGTGAAAAAAGCTATGAGCCCATCATAATATGGAGCCAATTATAGACATAGTCTCGCAAATAATACATCAAGTATAGTATCTTATAATATTTTATCATATTATTTCTCAAATATATGCATGAATAAATGTAAATGAATAAAGCAATTTCTTTTTGAGATTAACGAGCCATCGGATGTGATGGTTAGATGATTCCTTTGGAAGGAATGTGATTCAACTTGGGCAAATGAGAGATATCACTTTTATAATATGGGTTTTCTCTATAGAGGAATTCATTCCATATAGTATGTCTCTTCATCTTATGTTCGGAGAGTATACCATTAGATATGATGTATATTTTTATTATTTAATTATTATATATATTATCTAGATTTGTTACACATGACTGGTACATGATTTTATTTATTATATAAGAATTTTTTTTATGATATATCAATTTCATAATGAATTGATATGTTATCATTTTATATTAAATTATTATATATGTTTCATAAATATTAAAATTATTTTTATAATTTTTCGAAGGTTCTTACTAATATTTGTGTTGTAGGTGTATTTTTATCTTATTTTTATTTTTAAAGTAACATATTACTTCATATTAGATTCGAGGTTAGGTGAAAGATACTTTTTTTTTCTGCCCTATCAAGAAAATATGATTATTTTTAATTAAAAAATTATTATTATTATAAAGATAATGATTTGAATTCAAAAATATTTTTTATAAATTATAAAATATTAACATAATAATTTATTTTTATAAATCCGGGATGTGACAATAACATTTCTTACTTACATAAAAAATTCGAGAAAAAATTGTTGAGAAATATCTAATATTCATAAGGAGCTTATGCCATTTTAATCATGGAAAAAATCACACCATTGTTTCTTCTAACAACAAAGAACTCACACCAATATATATATACTTTTTCCTTTGATCTTATTCTACAAAAAGAAAGACATATTTATTATTCCAAGTCTCGTACTTTGAGGCAAAGCCACCTCTAAGATGACTCACCAAAGCGTCCATAGATGGTGATGGATGTTAGATCGTTTTCGTATCTTTAGATAACTTCGTTGAACTCAATTCACTAATCAAAATAAGTAAACTAAATTTAATAATAATATAGTAATTATATTTATTATTTAAGTCTATTTTTTAATGTTGAACTAATAATAATAGGAGCTTACTATTTAAAGTCTTCTTACTATTCATAATCATCTTATTATTTATTTATAATCCCTTAAAAATTAATAAAATAATATTTTATAAATCATAATCTCTCAAATTTTATTTTTACCATTCTTTTTCCTTTCCCATAACCCCCACTTACGCACACTACTCTCACTATCATATTAACTCATTAGTAAAGGTCCCAAACATGATATCTTTTGATTAATGTAAACGATATAGAAAATAATATCTTCTAGAATATTAGAAGATACATATAATCTTAAAAATATTAGGTCATTATAATAAATATCAAAAACTATTTTTTTATCTTTTTTTTTTTTTCACTTCATCCCATTTCATCACTTATCTTTTTTTTCCATCATTTTACGTCATCTCTATGACCAAGAAGAAGAGAAAAAAATTAAAAAAAATTATAGGTAAAGAGTGAAAAGGTTATATTCGAATTGAATCGAGGATTAATATATATATATATATATATATATATATATATATATATGTATATATGTATATATATGTATATATATAAAAAGATAATTTAAAAAAAATTAAAGTTTTAATATAAAATTATAAATAATATATATATGTATAAAGATAATTTTAAAAAAATTAAAGTTTTTAATATAAAATTATAAATAAATAAATAATAAAGAGAGGTTTCAAAAAAGCAATCTCCAATCATATCGTTGGTGGTAAGAGTAAGGTTGGAGAGGAAAACCCAATAGCAAGCAAAGCATATGTCCTCCCTTCTCTCGGACAGAGATTAGGCAAAGCAGCAAAGAAGACAAAGGAAGGAACAGAGTACGTATGCTGCGGGGATTATTATGAAGCACTCACTGCCTCTTCTCCTCCCTATAAATCGCTGGCCGTTGCCGCTTTGCTTCACCGCAACGAAATCCCCCTCGACAGGAAGAACAATGCCAGCTGCCCGGCAACACCTGTTCCTCCTCTGCCTCCTCCTCCCCATCTCCTTATCCTGTGAGCCTCGAAGCACAAGCAAGCAGCCTCTGCGGCAGGGCTTGACGACGTCCTGACCTTCTTCTTTGTTGTTTCAGATGAAATCCAGCTGATACTGGTGAACAACTGCAATTACAGCGTGTGGCCTGGAGTGCTCGGCAGCGCCGGTCATGCAACACCAGAGGACGGCGGCTTCCACCTCGGCCTCGGCGAGGAGGCGGTCTTCGACGTGCCGAGCTGGTGGTCGGGGCGGGTCTGGGGCAGGCAGGGCTGCGGTTTCGACGGCCAAGGGAAAGGGAGCTGCGACAGCGGCGACTGCGGCGGGATGCTGCAGTGCAAGGGCGCCGGAGGAGCGCCACCGGCGACGGTGGTGGAGATGACCTTCGGCACGGACCGGTCACCTCTCCACTTCTACGACGTGAGCCTGGTCGACGGCTTCAACCTCCCCGTCACCATGGCCCCGGTCGGGGGAGGTGTTGGCTGCGGCGTGGCCGGGTGCGAGGTGGACTTGAACGTCTGCTGCCCTTCCAAGCTCGAGGTGAAGCGGAACGGGAAGGTGGTGGGGTGCAAGAGCGCGTGCTTGGCGCTGAAGGCGGACAAGTACTGCTGCACCGGGGACTACGGCTCGCCCAAGATCTGCAAACCCACCCTCTTCTCCCATCTCTTCAAGTCCATTTGCCCTCGTGCTTACAGCTTCGCCTTCGACGACTCTTCCAGCCTGAACATATGCAGGGCATCGAGATACCTCATCACCTTCTGCCCTCCTGCAAGATAGATAGATAGAGAGAGAGAGAGAGATGCATGTGTTCTGTGAAATGTAAGCAGGACCTTCATATGTTATTTAGCTGTTACTGTTCTACTGGTAGATGTATCTTCAGCATCTCTCTCTCTCTCTCTACCATCTGAGACAGCTGAGGTTGCCAAATACAACAATTGCATGCACGCAAAAAGCCTGGCAATGGCAAGTCTCGGAATAATACATGACAAGTAAGCACATGAACTGTAGCACTTCACATAAACAGCCATAAGTCGAATTTTGCAAAGACATTGGAATAAATAGGTAGAATTAGCTACTACCTAAATTGTATCTCAGGAACATTCCATGATCAAATAAAACAGGAACACGAAACAACCTTTCGGACAGACGAACAGCTCTCGGTGACCGACATTTTTTACAGTCTTTCTTGTTAACATTTCTTCATCACCATCTTTTAATTTACACCCATATAAACCTTGTACAAACAACTATCTTCTCTGTGAAGACATCATATATGTGCTAACCCATCTGAGCCTCAGCCATGGTGTGACAAACTATTAGTTCACCTAGAGAATGTACAAACTTCAGTACAAGCAGCATTATTATTGCCAACTAAGCCTGTACCAGCCTACACGCAAAGCCGGGAAGCTCACACTAGCCTCAGCTGTACAATGTCATTCTCATGCAATCGAAGATGCATGCTGGGTCTGAAATCCGATCCGCCGTTCTGCGAAACAACAAAGAAATAGAAGAGTTCAGATAGAGCCGAAGAGGCCACGGAGGAGTCTAGCAAAGTGAAATCAGCAGTGGTTACTAGTAGAACTCAAGAAAATGATTAAGAAACAGAAATGCTGGCATCGAATGTATCAATAATCCTTTTTAACTTCGGGACAAAATTTTATTTTGTCGATTGACTCATGAACTTCGATTAACACTATTAATCAAATCTTACTGTCGGCTTCCGTCTATACGCCCAATAAAAATCTAATATGGCTGAACAATAAGACTTGCACAATGTGCAACCATGACAGTTTTCCATCGATGCTTGTGGACAGAAGCTGGCGTAAAGACTTGATTGAGATATTAGTTAAGCTAGTGAGTCGAGCGACGAAAAAGATAAATTGAAATTTACTCCAAACTTCAAGGTTTAATAGCCGTTTGGCCTTTATTCCACAAGAATGGGACATATAAACAAATCAAGTAAAAGGAACTAAAAGAGACTATTGTGCCTTACCCCCGGCTGCAACAAGTTTCTCTACACGAGCAACTATATGCTTTCCGTAGGTATATTTCTTCAAAGCATTCAAGTGGACCTTTATTCGTGACAGAATCAGTTCACGTTGCTGATCATCACAAGTCTCCAATACTTTCTGTACAACATAGTTACCAAACTGATCTTTCATCATGGCCTGACACGAACATAGAGAAAACATAAGCACAATAGTCAAAATAGTTATATTTTCTGTCGAGCATATAATTCTTTGGCTCAGACTACAGTAACCAAGCACCTCGAAATAGTTAGAATACAACAAAGCATTGCCTTCTACTGACAGGAAGAAACTCTGTTGTAAACAAAATATTGGGTTAGATATTAAGTAGTGTAGAGAGTTGATCGTGAACCTTAAAAGAACAGCAATAATTTCTCAAAATCATACCATTACCTTACGACAAATTTCTTAATACTGGACATATCTATTCCAGGTCTTGTTTAAGAGCTTAACTTATAAGTAATGCCTAAAATTAAGAAATTGTTTGTACATTTTCATTTCTTATCAAGGTTATAGCTATTTGCATGACTTTTATTTGTATAGTTAAAAAGCTTATGTTTTTGTGTAGTAACTTACTATTATGCATTCGCTTACTGTATCTAACAATATATTCCCTGTCGTGGTTGACTAGTTTAAGAAAGCAGATCTTCATAAAGAAAAAATTTCACCAAGATAATGTGGAAGCTTATGATCATGTCCTAGAATTACTACAGAATAACTGCTACATGCGTTTAAGTGATGCATTTTTTGAAGGCTAATGTTCCAGATACTTTAATAAATGAAACACACCAAGTCTCACGGTCACAAGAGGAAGCAGAGTGCCCCAGTCCCACCCATGAATTGGGACAGACTTTATGTGGTTATTTCTTCTGCCTACATCAAACTGCCCTTGTAAACCTGTCCAAACCACTACATGGTTACTAACAATTGTCTGGTATGTCTAGAAGAAACTTACTGTGACAAATGCTTACATTTGTTGGCACTCCTAAATTATTAAGCATCCAATGACTGTTTATGCTTAGCAACAATTATATTGGTAAAATCACAATCAGGGTAACCAAAATAAAATTTCAGCACAGTAATAGATGGCTAAACATAAAACACATTATTAGGTTAACAGCAACTAGCTTGCTCATATTTGCAGATCAAGTGAGATGCCATGATCTCTGACAAGGGTTGAGTCATGAGATTTGGTCTATCAGTAACTGAAGAATTATAATTGTTTACAATCTGTTTGGTCCATTAATCCCTAAGTGCTATGCTTCTGATTGATCTCTGCAATTCATTTCTTTATCTTCTACAATAATAAAATGGCTGGAATTCAATGATGATTCAAAGATTTCAAATATATACAGTGTAGGAAATAAACTTCCAAACATGTGAATCCTCCTAAAAGTTAAAAGTCGGGTGAAACCACAATATGAATAATTTACTAATCCAAGAAAATTACAAAATAGTGTAATTCAGAAAAACATTTTGAACAACGGGAAGAAAGAAACCTGAAGAGGCTCATTCTCATCAGTTGAACCAAGCATTTCATTCACCAATATTTGACGTTCCTCGAGACTGCCAAAAGTCAAACATTTTTCAACAACATTCGAAGCAAACTTATGTAGACTCATCTGAACTATCTGTCCGGCTAACTTCTTAATGATGGCAGACCTCTCACTAGGTTTCCCATGCTCCAAAACATGCTGTCAAAAAATAAATCTCAAGTAGGAAAATTCAAGCATACAGAGTAAAGATTGCAAATGTCACACTGGAAGAAACATTAAAAAAGAGGTGAGTCAGTCAAGCACAAGACTTGCAGGTTTCATGACTTAACTATTCTAGGCACAGCACAAGTTGTAAAGAGGAAGCTACAGCATAATCTCTCTAGAGTACCAATGAAGTGTCAGTCTTGCCACATGATGTCATAAGGAAACAATGTGTCTGACAAAAATGGTAAAGGGGATAGCATTGAAGTAAAACCATATAAAAAGTAGTTCTTTTTATTCATAAATGGCACAAGCAAAGGACATGCCTCTGTTGAGACATACTAGTGCACTGTTGCACAATTGATGAGTAAAAAGTGAGTCCATGTGTGAACACCATTTACGTAATGGAAATTTCTTTTTAGTTAAAAAAAATCAAAGCACACCTTGCTCTTTCTACGAATTCTATCCGGATTTCTCTTTAACAAAGTATCAAAGAATTAAATTATATTAATCAAGTTTTCTCATATAACCGGGAGAAGCAAAAAATCTCCTGTTTGAAACCAAGAGAATAAAATTATGTTGGTTAAAAATTCAATAGTCTTCAAATTCCAAGTTATCTCTAATGCCCCTTTAGCTTGTTTGATGAATGTTACCCATACTTCTATGTAAAAATTCCAAGGCAGGAGGAAATCTTGGAAGGTCTCAATGGCATCATTGGTAAGCCTTACTTATGCCGATGCCTAGTCTAAAAGTATATCCAGGATATGCTCTGTTATTTCATTAACAGTAAAGCCAATAAATGAGGAGCACAGTTTGACACATCAAGATAATCTTAAAATATTTGCTAGAGGTTGTTTTATTATAAGAAAAAATTGCCCATATGTTAGGATAATATGGTCATTAGATTAGTTCAGTAACAACATACAGAATACAGGATCTTTCAGCCTAAATAATCATAAAGCCACATACACATATAACTATATAAGTATAAAAAAAAACTGCACAAGACTAACAAATATATATAAGTTATTTTAGTTTAAAATAATGGGAGTTAATAAGTGCCACTAGCCGATAAAACATGAACCATGCATCTTTGGAGCAAAAAATTACAGATAGATAAGGAACCTGGACAACATAATTTCCATACTGGTCTTGAGTCAACAAGCTAACAGATTGTAGAATTTCTCCCATCACAATCTGTTGAGTGTTAGGGTCATCACAATACTCCAGTACTCTCTGAACCAGGAAAAAAAAGCTCAGCAGGGTGTACAGCCAAAATGAATACAGCATCTAAACTTTCAAGAATAGTAAAGTTCAAGGGCAATAAACCTGTATGACACGACAGCCATATGGATGAGTAGATAATGTTACAACTTGATCATAGAAGGTTGATATGATAAACTGAATTGCATCCTGGGGAACACACTCGATACATTTCTGGATGACATGGTTCCCATTCTGGTCACGTACACAACGCATGACATGCCCATCAAGCTCCAAAACCATTTTTTTCTTCAGGTCCAAATCAACAACTTCTATGGCCTGTGAAATAGGTCAGATTTCATTTTCCAATAACTTCAATAAGCCATTAACATGCTATTAAACGACTAGAAAATCAATTAGGAACATATTTGAGCTGAGGTTATCTTTGATCAGAAAGAATTACCTTGCTGTTCACTAGGTAAAAATACTTCATTCAGTTAAATGGGTATGTATTTAATATTCAAATTTTGTTGTACAGTGTCCATATGGATGATGCACTATACTCATACTAACCAGTCTTTAAGAAAAAAGGATGAAAGCTGAAAGGGAGAAGCCTATCAAAATTTATCTATTACATACTTTATAAGTGATTTTTCATATGTAAGTCCTAAAGGCCAACTAACATAAAAAAGAGTACCTGTTAAGTTGGAAAAAGGCAAACACTACAAGAATTTCCTCCTATAACAAATACTTAAGTTTATTGTTTTCAGCAGAGAGAGGACACAGAAAGCAGAGAAATGACAGAGACAGACTGTGATAAGGCCTCCAGATAACTGATAATAGAAAAAGAGAAAGGGGAGAGAAACGACAGAGACAGACTGTGGTAGAGACTCCAGACAACTGAAAATAAACTACTATTTGATTATATGGATGTCCAAAATATTAGATAAATGAA